GTCTGCTGCAAGCACACACGTACCCACTCCCACTCACGTTCACACCCCTCTATGTATACATGTCCCTGCACCTACATGTCACATGTATGCATACATGCATATATCTATATCTACGCTCACATATCCACATGCCTATCGACAGGCCCTCACATATAGGCACTCACACATTCACATTTACGATACCTCACACACTCACAAGCCCTCACGTACTCAAGACCTCACAAATTCACAATCCATCACACACTCATAGGCCCACACACACTCACAGACTCTACACACATGCATGGGCCCTCACACAATCATAGGCCTTTACATGCTCACAAGCCCCACACTCACAGGCCCATACACACTCAGGCCTTCACATATACACATACAGTCTCCATTCACACGCTCACATAATACTGATGTCCACACACAGACCCTCACACTTTGAAGAGATGCCTTTTCACTCACAACACAGACTTAGAGACTGGTGCAGTAGAGAATCATCCACAAACATGCACACACACACACACACACACACACACACACACACACACCACAGCTCTGAAACATGGCTTAGCTCTGAAAAGTGGCCTTAGCTATGGATATGCAAGGGTTGCAAATGCAGCTAGGATCAGCTGGATCAGGGACTGGACCCTACCTGTCTCCCCATGCAGAAGACCAGGCCCAGGCTCCAAGCCATCAGCCTCTCCATCAGACACCTCCAATGGGGGGCTCTGCCTCTCACCCTCCTCCTCATCTGAGCTCTGCTGGTGGGCCGGGGACAAGGACTGATAAGGGAAGCACATCCTGGGCATGTAGGAAACCTGCAAAGGGAAGGGAAGGCTAGAAGTCAAGAAGGGGTAGCCCAGAGCTGCAGCAGGGGTGGGCTGAGTGAGAGAAGGAGTGCTGGGGTGTGACCGGCAGGGGCAGGAAAACTGAGAAGGGAAAACTAGAGGCTAGTCTGGACCAAAACTCAGGGATGCAGGTCATGATGCAACGGGCTGCTAGTTATTGAGCCTACCACCCTTCCCACTGCAGCCTCTGGTTTAGGGCAGGCAGAGGTATGCTTTATTCTCATGTACGCCAAGGGGCCATTTGGCCTGACAGTGGACTAGGAATAGAGGAGTTCTGGGGAACAGTGAGATGGTTATAAGGAAGTGAGTGGGGCTTAATAAGAGAGTGATGAGTCAATGACAAGGCAGTGGAAGTCAGTGAGGGGGTGGCAGACATCGCTGGCTGGGGTTAGGGTCCCTGGAGCAGGGGACAGTCAGTAATGAAGATTAATGGGGAGCCAGAAGGTCGGTAGAGGCTAGCATTCAGTGACTCAGATGCTGGGATGGTGAAGAGAGTAAATGGGGACTGTAGTCAGTGGGACCCTAAGGGCCCACAAACAGGAATGGGTGGGAAAGGCGGCTGAGTGCTGGGGGTCACATGGGGTCTGTCCATCCTCTGTGAGATAAAGGTGTAGGTTCACAAGGTCAGTCAGGAGGTCAGCACAGCCGTTGGGGTACCAGCTGCCGTTGGCTCTGTGGAGCAGGAAGCCACGTTGAGTAAGAGCCTATGTCAGCTTCCTGTGAAGCTTCCATGCCTCACCACAGGCCTGGAGGTCCAGGGGACAGAGGACAGCCAGCGGCACGCACCTGGTGGCTGAGGCTGGCGTGGGGCGGTGCCATGGGGGTATCGAGGACGTGCATCTGTTCCAGCTCCATGTGACGGTAGAGCTGCTGCAGCTGCGGGGCCTGCACACTCTGCAGCTCCGTGAAGTGGTTCTCAGGGAAGCTCTCGAACTCGCTGTGTACATGGTGCGTGGGGAAGTCCCAGTAATGATCTGTGGGGACAGCCAGGGAGGAGGGGGTGAGCCAGGGTGCCAGAGCAGGTAAAGGACGCAATAACACAAAATAATCATTCAGACGGAGCCAAAAAGTTTGCATTAATCAGCTCTTATAATTTCGTGTGTTACAACTGCTACTTTATAGAAAGGGCTCCGGCTTAGAGAGGTTCCCTGGATTAAAGTCCTTAACAGTGGTAGAGCCTTGTCCTGGGTCTCCAGTTATGCCCCAAGTGGTTCTCAGCAACCATTTTATTCTGGAACTGGGCCCAGGGACACACAGGCTTCTTCTGGGCCCAAGTCTGCATCCTGGCTTTGCCATTTATTGGCTGTGTGACCTCAGCACAGGCCTAGGCCTGTCTGGCCTTAGTGGGCCTACCTAGAAAATAGGCAGCATTGTTTTGGGGAGAATACAAAGGAGCTCACATTCATAAGGGCTTCTAGACCCAGAGCAGGCCTTGGAAAAGTAAATCCTGCCTAAGCGACCGTCCACAGACTCTTGACTACCTAAAATCACAAGCATGGGTACTTGTCACATGATCAGGTTATGATTGCAAAGTCACAGGGCTGACATTTCTCACATACCAGAGTTTGCCTAGACCTATGGCGCTGCTTCCGTAAAGCCACAGACAGGGGTAGCCACACCCAGGTTCCCAGGAGGCTGAAGGAACAGATTTCCCCAGAAAGCCCCCGTGGGTGTCTGGTGTCTGTGGCAGGGTGGACCCAACTCCAGGAAACAGCCACATAGCCCTGGGAAGAGCTATAGTGTGGTTTCTCAGGGCACCTTTTTCAGGAACAAAGGTTGCTGCCCATCTGAGGGACTCCTTGGGCACAGTTTGGGGTTCAGAAGAAAGTATGATATGGGACTAGTGAGATGGTAAAAGCTCTTACTGCCATGACGACCTGAGTTCGATTCCCGGAACCTTCAGAATGGAAGGCAAAGCCAGCCCCTGTAAGCTGGCCTCAGACTTCCACGTGCATGTTGTCACAGTGCACATGAATCTATTAATAAATAAATTTGATAAGAAGAAAGAAAAAATGAGAATGTGGTATGAAGGGAGGGATTTCCTTATGTGATCTAAAGGAGTGTGGAAGGTGCCAGACCAAGGCAAGTCCACCAGGAACCATGCCCACGTGTGCACATACAGGCATGCACACCTGCCTCCTTCTTTCTTTGACTTTGTCTCTCACACAAACACATCCTTATCCACACATCCCTAGGAAATGACATACGCTTTCCAGTTATGTAGTAGGTATCGCAGGACTCTTTTTAAAATTACATTATATTTATGTATTTATTGGGGGCAAATATGCTGCTCATGTGTGGTCAGAAGATAACTTTCAGGACTTGATTCCCTCCTTCCACCCCAGGGGTCTCAAATCAAACTCAAGATGGAGGCAGTAAGTGCCTTTACCTACTGAGCTGTTTCATCCATCCTTGTTGAGACAGGGTCTCACCCAGGCTGAGTTTGAACTTGTGACCATCCAGATTTAGCCTCTTGAGGTTCGGGATTACAAGCCTGGCTTTTTCCTCATCCTGCCCAGTGGTGCTGTGCTATGTGACCTTAGACTTTTTTTTTTTTTTTCCTCACTGAGCCTGTTATTCCCCACTTAAGAGGTCATTACTAAGCTCTTGTTTCCATGCAATGTCTTTTGAGCCAGGCAGCAGGGACCCAACTCTAGGAGGCTGTGTGGCACGTGCCTTGGAGCTGCATTCAAACCCTGGCTGCAACATTTACTGCTGCATGGCTCTGGACCTCAGCTTCCTCATCTGAATGGGGCTGGTAATTTATACCCATCTTATATATATACTGTGAGGGATAAGTGAGCTACATGATGCCTGTGCTTAGTATAAAACCTGGTGCAAAAGAAGAACACTCAGTCTCATCATGCTCGGTTAGTCTACAGAGCCTATGTTAGCTCATCTGTAATCTCAACAATCAGAAAGCAGAGGAGAGAAGACCAAAGGCAAGCTGGGCATGGTGGGTGCACACCTTTGATTGCAGCACTGCAGAGGCAGAGGCAGAGGCAGACTGACCTCTGTGAGTTCAAGACCACCCTTGTTTGCACGAGTTCCAGGTTATGTTTTCTGTCAGAAACAAAGGTTTGAAGCCCAAGTCTGGAGAAATATTTCAGTGGTTAAAAGCACTTGCTACTAGTCAGGCGGTGGTGGCACACGCCTTTAGTCCCAGAACTCGGGAGGCAGAGGCAGGCGGATCTCTGTGAGTTCCAGCCCAGCCTGGTCTACAAGAGCTAGTTCCAGGAAAGGCTCCAAAGTTACAGAAAAACCCTGTCTCTAAAAACCCAAACACAAAAAACAAGAAAAGAGCACTTGCGGCTATTACAGAGAACAGGGATTGAGTTCCCAGGACCCATATGGCAACTCACAGCCTCCTATAACTCTAGCACTCTCTGTCGCTGTCTCTGTCTCTGTCTCTGTCTGTCTCTCTCTCTCTCTCTCTCTCTCTCACACACACACACACACACACACACAGAGAGACAGAGAGACAGAGAGACAGTGAGACAGAGAGACAGAGAGAGGATGTTTTGTAAAGATTGAGGCCATCTTTGGCTAGAAAGCAAGATCTTATCTCAAAACAAAAACAAAAAGGCTAGGGTTATAGCACAGTGGTAGAGTACTTGCCTCCCATGCACAAAGTTCTGGGTTCAAGACCCAGGACCAAAAACAAAGGTCGCTAACCCTGAGAGGATGGCTTGCAGACCCGGCTCCCTCTTCAGTAGGTCAGCTTCAGCACCTTCCAAGCCATTGCCTTTTACCTTTCCCTGCCCAGCCCAGCCTGCTCCAGCTCCAGGGACAGGAACCCTGAATGTTTGTCCCTCTCTAGGTGTGAGCTGAAAGGCTTCTGGCCTAACTCCTTGCAGCCCCACCACACCTCTACTAGCTCGCTGTGCTATTTGAAGCCTAAGGCTAGCATTTCCCAAAGCTGTTGTGGGTAACAGGAGTGTGAAACACTGCAGGGGGAATTCGAGACTCTGCCCCCTGTTCTCAGTCTCCTCAAGGCGATGGCCAAGACTCCCTGAGCTACAACGGTTTCAAAACCTCACCTTTCCCCTTGATTTGGGTGCCAAGCAATTATGTAACCAACAGTCTAGTAGGCAAACTCATTTCAAATACGGGTCCCAGAAAGAATGTTCAAGAAATCATTCAGAGAACAAAGGTTAGCCTTTCGGGCCTTCTGAATCTCATTTCTTGTGTCTCACTCTATAGCCCAGGCTGGCCTAGAAACTACCATGTAGTCTAGGATAGCTTTTAATTCATGGTAATCCTCTTGCTTTATTACAGACTTGAACCATCTAGACAACTCTCTCTCTCTCTCTCTCTCTCTCTCTCTCTCTCTCTCTCTCTCTGTAGCACAGGCTAGCCCCAGACTTGCTGTATAGCAGAGGATGATCTTGAAACCTTGATCCTCCTGTGTCTACATCCCAAGTTCCAGGATTACCACCATGTGCCAACACGCCTGGCTTGGACAACTCTTCATGAACACAGTGTCTAATTTTGTTTTGTCCCTTTATTGTGCCACTTTGCCTTCTGCCTAAAGGCTACCCACACACCCCATGAGCATAACTCTCTGCTCGTCAGAGACTATCATCATGTCATTTGCATATCTGGTGACAGCTGCATGTCTACTTTCTATAGCCTGTAGGCATCCATCATGCAGAAGGTCTCAATGCTTGATAGGATCACTGATGTTAACTTACAGTGTACCAAGCATCGTGCTAAGAATGCAACCCACTTTATTTCTTTAACCCCTACTCTAACTCTGAGGAGGTAGAGGCTAGAGTGGGCCCTTCCTTTTGACAGTTAAGGAAGCTGTGGCTCAAAAGGTTACATCCTGCCTTTAATCCAGCACTTGAGAGGCAAAGGCAGGTGGATCTTTGTGAGTTTGAGGCCAGCCTGGTCTACATAGCAAGTTCCAGAACAGCCAGGGCTACATAGAGAGACCCCCATCTAAAAAGAGAGAGGGAGAGAGAGAGAGAGAGAGAGAGAGAGAGAGAGAGAGAGAGAGAGAAGAAAGAGACAGACATAGAGATAGGGAGAAAGAGAGAAAGAGAGAGAGAAAGAAAGAAAAAAGGAAGGAAGAAAGGAAGGAAGGAAAGAAAGAGATTAAGTATTTTGTCTATGGTAGCTACTGGTAGTGTGGTGTCATGTTCCAAGCCCACTTTTGTGTAATTCCAGAGGATGAACTCTTACTAAACTGTGCCACTCTGGGGATCAAAGCTATTGATGTAAGTATGTTAGCTTTAAATAAGACCAGTGGTGACCCTGAAAACCTCTACTGATGCTCCTTCCATCTATCTGTACACACCTGTCCATCCAACCATTATTCAACCCATCACGCAACCTTCATCTACCTATCAGCCGCTTGTAACTCATCCAGCCACCCAGCCAAACAAGAGCCCACTTTTTATTTATTTATTTATTTATTTTGACAGGGTCTTGATATATGACCTAGGCTGGTCTCCTGTGCTGACATCACAACTGATACCACTACACCTGGGCAAGCCATTTGTCTTCATCTTTTCTTTCTTTCTTTCTTTTCAGACAGGGTTTCTCTGTGTAGCTCTGGCTGCCCTGGAACTAATTCTGTAGACCAGGTTGGCCTCGGACTCACAGAGATCCTCTTGTCTCTGCCTCCCAAGTGCTAGGATTAAAGGCGGGCACCATCACTGCCCAATTGATCTTTTATTTTTCTATCCCCTCATCTCTATTCTTACTTAGTTGTTACTAGGACAAAGACCAGGTGATATTCAGATTACTAAACATCAAGCCTTAGGAGTCACTCAGATGACCTTATCCTCAGAACAGAAACCCCAGCCTGAAGCCCAGGGCTATTTCCAGAAGAGCCAAAGTACTCTGAAAACAGAAGACCGGGGACTGGACAGAGGTCTCAATAGTTAGAGCACTCACTGTCTTCCACAGGACCTGAGTTCAGTTCCCAACACCCACATCAGGCAGCTTAGAACAACCTATAACTTGA